CTGGCTCCCCCGGGGGTCAGTTTGCTTCACACAAGAAACCCACAGGCAAAGCCAGGCCTCCTTTAACCCCTGCCCTGCCACCCTCAAGCTAATCATTGACCAATAACATTCTCTCGCCTCAAAGGAAGACTGCATCATTTCCAGTAAAATGTGGTGCCTGAATCACGTGCCATTTGTTCCTACTGACACCATTTTCTTTAACAATGAAGAGACCCTCCCCCCCATGCTATTTGAATAGCAGCGGCATCATCAGAGCATACTATGATAATTGAGTATAAAAAAAATAAAGTCTGAATAAAAAAGTGTGCCTCACTAAACGTTTATTAGATACCCACTGCATTTGCTAAGTGCCCATTACGTATTTCACATTGAGCATTGACTTAATAAGCAGTAATTAAAAAGATGGTAGGGGGAAAGAAAATGTAGAGGAAATCTAACCTACTGGATTTCTTTAGAGGAAAGGAAACTGAGGTCCTGAGAATTGGTTCCTTTTTAAGGCATGAGACAAGTCCGAGGCAGCATTGAATCAGAGCTCTGGAGACAGATAAAATCAAAACAGCAACTCTGAAATATTGTGCAACCATAGATTTGAGACATAGTTGGCAACTGTCCAATATCAAAGAATGTTATGTTAGTAATCTTCATTTAACTAGTCTTTTTTTTAACCTTTAAATTTTTTATACTATCAGCTTTTATTATTAATTTTTTATGCTATCTGTTTTTTAAATTAATTTCATTAAAAGTGTTATTTGAGGTATAAACCTTTACTAAAATTAACATCACCAAAGAAACCAGGTGAATTAGAACTGGAGTCCAGACCAGATTGAAAGACCTAACTTTATGTGTTATATATGAAAATTGAGACCTGAAGAAAAAGAATAGGTAAAAAAAAATTTTTTTTTTAATGATCTGTAACACATTGTTTAATGACAGGAAAATCATATTCAAAAATCAGAGAAGTGACGTGGATAGTGGTTACATTTATACTTCAATGCCAATGAGTTGCGAGTTTTGGGGGGGGGTTTTCTTCATTTTTTTTATTAAGGTATTATATGGGTACATATCTTATCATTGCCCCCTCCCTCCCATACATACCCTTCCTCCCCAGAGTTTTATGTCCATTGGTTATGCTTATATGCATGCATACAAGTCCTTCGGTTGATCTCTTATCTCCCCCATATCTTCCTACCCTCCCACTGTAATTTGACAGTCTGCTTGTTGCTTTACTGTCCCTGTATCTATCTTTTTGTTCATCATTTTATAATATTCCTTATTATCCATAAAATTTTTAATATTATAAAGTTTCTTATTTATAAAAGCAATGGACTATCAGAGAAAGTTGGGGTGGGGGGGAGAAAGGATATATCTCCTGAAGGGGTCCATCATATACCACTGCGGCATAAAAATTATTTTGAGCAGAAAGCATTTGAGGTCCCAGAGAAACTCATCTATCATAAATCTCTTCCCTGGGAGTAACCAGGGAAGACTGGCTCTGAGCACCAGAGATAAGATAAACCTCATCTAAACAGATATGTCACAAAACTTGCCCACCTCGAAGGACTCATTTGAGTTTTGTTTCCCCATAAATACTTTCTCCCTCCCTTTTCTTTTTAAAAAGTCACTTGTATTCCTGTAAGTGCCTTTCCCCCCTTTCTTTTCTGCTACTAAGATGGTTTATAAGCCCTGATTTCTAACCCTCCCTTTAGTCACATGTTTCTGTGAACGCATCTATGTACAGTAATAAAACTATGCACCCCTATGTTCATAGCAGCACAATTGACAGCAGCTAAGATTTGGAAACAGCCTAAGTGCCCATCAGCATATGAGTGGATTAAAAAACGTTGATACATCTACACATGGAATACTATGCTGCTATAAAAAAGAAGGAACTTTTACCATTTGCAACAGCATGGATGGAACTGGAGAGCATTATGATAAGCGAAATAAGGAGAAAGATAAATATCACATGATATTTATGTGGGATATAATGATCAACATAATTTGATGAACAAGAATAGATCCAGAGACAAATTGCAGGGGAGGGGCAGGAGGCAGTTAGAGAGCAACCAAAGGACTTGTACGCATGGTATATTAACATAACCAATGGACACAGACACTGGGGCTGTGGGGGCTTGGCTGGGGTGGGAATAGCTGTGTGTCGGTGGGGAGGGGGTCAATTGGGGAAAATGGAAACTTATATAAAACTTTAGACAATAAAAAATAAAATAAATAAAACTATGTGATTAAATTTGTGTTTTCTCTTATGAATCTAACTTTTGTCAGCTTAATTCACAGGACCTCAGGAACCGCACCTAAGAAGATAGAGGAAAAGCCTTCCTTCCTGACACAACAATCAGTTCAACACAACTATTTTCAATTTTGCCTATTTCCTACAATTGTTTCAACTGTGTTTACTTTTTACATCATTCCAATCATCATTAACATCCATCTATCTATATATCTATCCATCTATCCATCTCTCTCTCTCTCTCTCTCTCTATATATATATATATATATATATATACACAGATGGATGTTACTGATGATTAACATATTTAATGATAATTAACATATATAAATAAAGGGGTAATGCGCAAATTAGCTGGGACACTGTAACAGGCTCAGGAGGAGGCTGCATGCACAGATGGACAGAAGGGGACTGTGTGCTGCCCCCAGCCCCAGTGGCCACGGTGCAGCTGAGGCTCAGGGTGGGCCCGGAGCAGAGACACAACACACAGGGGGGCTGCCCCTTCTGGGAGACATGGAGCAGAGGAAACACCTTTTCTCACCGCTCATTGGCTCAGCTCCCTGTACGTCACTCACAGTGTTCTTGGTCACTTGGGAAAGAAGAATCCAGAAAGGCAATCTAGGGTTTTTCTACCTCACTCCTGGAGGAAAAAACAAAGGTCCACTCCTGCCCTAGCCGGTTTGA